CTGTAAGTCACAGTATCTGTCTCTATCTGCTGCTGGCTGGAGCCTCCCAGAGGACAGTCCAGTCAGGCTCCTGTCTGCACGCATAGCAGAGTATCATTATTAGTGTCAGGAGCTGGCTCTCCACCATAGGGTGGGTCTCAGGTTGGGCCTATTGTTGTTTGGACATTTCCTCAATCTTTGTTCCCTCGTTATCCCTGCACTTCTTGTAGGCAGGGTAATTTTTGGATCAAAGGTTTTGTCGGTGGGTTGTCATTTCCTTCCATCTACTAGTCCTGCTTGTCTAGGAGGTGGTCACTTCAGTCTTCATGTCCCTCTGTTAGGAGTCTCAGCTAGAGTCACACCCATATCCTCCCAGGAGCCTACCCTGTCGCAGGCCTGAAGTTTGACAAAGAGATGGCCCCCTCAGTTTCCCTTCTTGTTTCCAGATCTCTCACCTCCCACCCTCATTTTCCCAACATCTGATTCCCATCCTTGTTTCTCTCCCTATTCCATCTCCTGCCCAGTTCCCTCTTTTCATCCACTTCTGCTGTCTATTCTGTTTCGTCTTCTGAGTGACTTGCTGGCACCCTCCCTTGGGCCCTCCTTGTTACTTAGCTTCTGTGGGTCTGTGGACTGTAGTATTATTATCCTGTACTATAGGTCTAATATCCACTTATAAGTGAGTATATATCATGTGCATCTTCCTGGATCTGGGTTACCTCACTCAGGATGATCTTTTCTAGTTCCATTTATTTGCCTTCAAATTTCATGATTTCTTTGTTTTTAGTAGCTAAGTAGTATTCCATTGTACTTTGTAAATGTATCACAATTTCTGTATCCATTGTTCAGCTGAGGGACATCTAGGTTGTTTCCAGTTTCTAGTTATTATGAATAAAGCCACTATAAACATAGTTGAGCAAACGTCCTTGTTGTATAGTGGAGCATCTTTTTGGTATATGTCCAGGAGTGGGATAGTTCTTGAGGTAGAACTATTCCCAATTTTCTGAGAAAGCACCAGACTGATTTCCAGAGAAGTTGTACTCCTACCAGCAATGGAGGAGTATTCCCCTTTCTCCACATCCTTGCCAGCATGTGTTGTCATTTGAGTTTTTTATATTATCTATTCTGACTGGTGTAAGATGGAATCTTAGAGTCTTTTTGATTTGCATTTCTCTCATGGCTAAGGACACTGAGCATTTCTTTAAGAGCTTCTCAGCCATTTGAAAGTCCTCTGTTATGAATTCTCGGTTTAGCTCTGTATCCCATCTTTAATTGGGTTATTTGATTTGTTAATGTTTAATTCCTTAAAGTCTTTGTATAGTTTAGATAGTAGCCCTCTGTCTGATGTAGGGTTGGTGAAGATCTTTTCCCAATCTGTATGCTGCTAATTTGTTCTATTAACTATGCTTTTTTACTTATAGAAGCTTCTCAGTCTCATGAGATCCCATTTATTAATTGTTGATCTCAGAGCCTGTGTTGATGGTGTTCTATTCAAGAAGTTGTCTCTTATGCTAATGAGCTCCAGACTTTTCACAAAAATCGACCAAGATGATGTCTCAATGCTGAACATTTATGCCCCAAATGCAAGGGCACCCACATTTGTAAGATAAACATTACTAAAGATTAAAACACACATTAAACCCCACAAATTAAGAGTAGGAGACTTCAACACACCTCTCTCACTAATGGACAGGTCATTGAGACAGAAACTAAATAATGAAATAATGAAACTAACCGACATTATGAGTCAATTGGACTTAAATGTAGCTACAGAACAAAGGTAGCTATAGAACATTCCATTTAAACACACACACACACAAAAAAAAAAAAATACCTTCTTCTCAGCACCTCATGGAACCTTCTCCAAAATTGACCACATACTCCGACACAAAGCAAGCCTCAACAGATACAAAAAAGTTGAAATAACACCATGTATCCTATCAGACCACCATGAATTAAAGCTAGACTTCAACAACAACAAAAACAATAGAATGCCTATGAACACATGGAAACTGAACAACTCTTTAATTAATGAACACTGGGTCAGGGAAGAAATAAAGAAATTAAAGACTTTCTAGAATTCAATGAAAATGAAGGCACAAACGTATGGGGTCACAGTGAAAGCAGTGCTAAGAAGGAAGTTCATAGTGCTAAGTGCCTTCGTAAAGAAAGTGGAGAGAGCTCATACTAGCAACTAAACAGCTAACATGAAATCTCTAGGGAAAAAAAAAGGAAGCAAATACACCCAAGAGCAGTCGACAGCAGGAAATAATAAGGTAAACAGTTTGAATAGTCCTATAACCACTACAGAAATAGAAGCACTCACGAAGTCCCCAAAATCAAAAACAAAGCCTATGGCCAGATGGATTTAGCACAGAATTCTACCAGACTTTCAAGGAAGAACTAATGCCAATACTCCTCAAGCTATTCCACAAAATAGAAACAAGAAAGAACATTGCAAAACTCATTCTATGAGGCCACCGTCACTCTGATACCTGAACCACACAAAGACTCAGCAAACAAAGGGAATTTCAGACCAATTTTTCCTTATGATCACTAATATAAAAATATTCAATAAAATACTCAAAAACTAAATCAAAGAAAACCTAAAAAACAACAGCAACCATGATCAAGTATACTTCATTTCAGGGATGCAGGGATGGTTAAAATATATTAAAATCCATCAATGTAATCAACAATATGAACAAAGTGAAAGGAAAAACTACATGAACATCTTCTTAGATGCTGAAAATGCCTTTGACAAAATCCAACACCCCTACATGTTAAAAGTCTTAGAGAGATCAGAGATACAAAGTGCATAACTAAACACAATAAAGGCAATATGCAGCAATCCAACAGCCAACATCAAGTTAAATAGGGAGAAACGTATAGCAATCCCACTAAAATCAGGTACAAGACAAGGTTTCCCACTCACTCCATATCTATTCAATATAGTACTTGAATTTCTAGCTAGAGCAATAAGACAATCAAAGGACATCAAGGGGATACTAATTGTAAAGAAAGAAGTCAAAATGTCACTATTAACAGATGATATGATAGTATACATAAATGACCCCCAAAATTCTCCAAAGAATTCCTACAGCTGATAAACACCTTCAGCAAAGTGGCTGAATACAAAATTAACTCAAAACAATCAGTAGCCCTCCTGTATAGAAAGGACATACAGGCTGAAAAAATAAATTCTGGGAACAACACCCTTCTCAACAGCCACAAATAAGATTAAAAAAAAATCTTGGTGTAACTCTAACCAAGTAAGTGAAAGACTTGTATGACAAGAACTTTAAGTCTCTGAAGAAAGCTGTCGCGCGCAGCCCTCGCCGATAAGGACGACGCAGCAACAACGGATTTGTCCAGCAGCAACTTTATTGTGAGGCTCTTAACAGCAGATGGAGAAGGACCCCGAACCCTGTGTGCGTTCTGCTTAAGTAGCCAGCAGGGTGACTTGTTCGTCTGTAATTGGTGCTCCACACAAAACCCAATTAGCATGTGGTCTCCAAATGGAGGACCACACAAGCCTACATTAGCATAAGGCGGCGCATGCGCAGATCGCAAAACAATGCTGGCAAGAAGAACCAGGAAGCAGGAAACCGGCGCCATCTTGTAATGGCGGGAGTGGCTCCCGACAGAAAGCAATTGAAGAACATATCAAAAGATGGATATATCTCCTATGCTCATGGATCAGTAGGATTAACATAGTAAAAATGGCCATCTTACCAAAAGCAGTTTACAAATTCAAAGAAATTCTCGTGAAAATTCCACCAAAATTCATTATGTACCTTGAAAGAACAATTCTCAACTTAATATGGAAAAACAAAAAAACCCAAAATAGCTAAAACAATCCTATGCAATAAAAGAACTTCTGGAGGTATCACCATCCCTGACTTCAAGCTGCACTACAGTGCAATAGTAGTAAAAGTCACAGAGTGTTGGCATTAAAACAGAGATTGATCAACAGAATCAAATTAAAAACTGGGAGTAAACCTACATACCTCTGGACACTTGATATTTTACAAAGAAGCCCAAACCATACAATGGAAAAAAAAAAAAAAAGAAAGGAAGTATCTTCAATAAATGGTTCTGGTCTAACTGGATATCTCCATGTAAAAGAATACAAATAGATCCATATTTAATACCCTGCACAAAACTCAAGACCAAGTGTATCAAAGACCTCAACATAAAACCAGGTACACTAAATCTAATAGAAGAGAAATTGGAGAATATCTTTGAACACATTAGTACAGGAGATGACTTCTTGAACAGAACAAAAACAGCAGAGGCTCTAAGATCAATGATTAATAAATGGAACTTCATCAAACTGAAAAGCTTCTATAACCATAGGACATTGTCAATAAGACAAAAGAGCAGCTTACATGATGGGAAAAGATCTTCACCAACCCTACATCCAACAGATGGCTAATATAGAAAATGTATAATGACCTCAAGTAGACACCAACAAACCAAATAACCCAATTAAAAAATAGGGTACAGACCTAAATAAAGAATTCTTAATGAAGGAATTTCTAACAGCTAAGAAGCACTTAAAGAAATGTTCAACATCCTTAGTCATCAGGTAAATCAAAATGACTCTTAAGATTCCATCTTACATCCATCAGAATAGCTAAGATAAAAAACTTAAGTAACAGCACATGCTAGTATGGATATGGAGCAAATGGAACACTCCTCCACTTCTAGTGGGAGTGCAAACTTGTACAGCCACTGTGGAAATCAATCTGGAGGTTTCTCAGAAAATTGGAAGCAGATCTACCTCAGGACCCAGATATATCATTCCTGGGAAGATACCCAAAAGATGTTCTAGCATACCCCCAGTTGACACATGCTCACCTATGTTCATAGCTGCTTTATTCATAATGGCCAGAAACTGGAAACAACTTAGACATCTGTCAACTGAAGAACGGATAAAGAAACTGTGGTGTGTTTACACAATGGGATACTACTCAGCTATTAAAAACAAGGAAATCATGAATTTTGCAGACAAATGGATGGAATTATGCAAGTCCAACGGTGAGGAAAAAAAAAAAAAGCAAAAGAAGGAAGAAAACCTTAATCCTGGAGTAAGTTTTCTGGGCCATCTACCTACAACACTTTCTGAAAGCCATATCTATGAGTACTTGGCCCAGTTTGGTGCCATTAGTGAATTCAGATTGTCCAGAAATAAGTGGACTGGACACAGCAGAGGCTACGGCTTTGTGGAGTTTGAATCTGAGGATGTTGCCAAGACAGTTGCAGAAACAATGGATAACTACCTTTTTGGCAAAAGACTTCTATTATGTAAATTTATGCCTCCGGAAAAAGTTCATAAAGAACTTTTTAAAGAGCGTAATGTTCCATTTCATCAGTCATCAATTCCAGCCTTGAAGAGCTACAGTCAGAAATTAGGACATTTGCAAATGTTAACTCTGGAATATTGGTTTAAGAAGAAGGAAAAATTACTCTGGAAGAGACTAGCTAAGAAGGGGATTGATTATACTTTCCTGTTGTTTAAATGAAGGAAAATCCCAACTGTTCTAACTTACCAATAAAGACTCAGGAGCTAAGTGCTGGTGTGAAAAACTGCTAGCTCAGAGAGGCACAGAAAGTAACCAGCTAACTTTCCTTCTCAGCTCAGGTCTGCACGGAAAAAACCCAAAAGGCTCACTAGTGAAGCTGACAGTCCGGGAGCAAAAGGCAAAAACGCAAAAAAAAAAAAAAAAAAAAAAAAAAAAAAAAAAAAAAAAAAAAAAAAGGCTGAAGGCTAAAAAGCCAGGCTGCTGAGGAGCTGAATCCTAAACTAAAGCCAGAGTTTGAGCTAGTCGTCCTTTATTCTCCACACTGTCTTAAAAACTCCTCAACTCAAAGTTTGACTACAAGTCTCAGTTTCTACTTCAATACTTAGATCGGTGTAGTCTTTCAGAGGCCCTATGTAGTAGGCTCTTGTCCTGTTCCCTGTCTTCTCCTGCTTCCTGATGTCTATCCCGTTTATTTCTCTGAATGAAGATTGAGCATCTTCCCTAGGGTTTTCCTTGTTGTTAAGCTTCTTTAGGTTTATAGATTTTAGTATGTTTATCCTATATTATATGGTTAATATCCACTTATGAGTTAGTGCAGGGAATCTTATGGAAGAAGGGGGAGATAGAAAGACTTGGAGAGGACAGGAGCTCCAAAAGGAGACCAGCAGAGCAAAAAAAAAAAAAAAAAAAACAAAAAAAAAAAACAAAACAAACAAACAAAAAAAAAAAAACTGAGCCCTGGGGGCCCTGCAGAGACTGATATTCCAACCAAGCACCATTTATGGAGAAGACCTAAAACCCGGGCTCAGATGTAGCCCATAGACTCAGTCTCCAAGTGGGTTTCCTAGTAAAGGGAACAGGGACTATCTGTGGCATGAACTCAGTGACTTTCTGATCACCTCCGTCTTGGGGTGGGGCAGCCCTACCAGGTCACAGAGGAAGATAATGCAGCCAGTCCTGATGAGACCTGATAGGCTAGGGTCAGATGGAAGGGGAGGAGGACCTTCCCTATCAGTGGACTAGGGGAGGGGCATAGGGAAAGAAGAGGGAAGGAGACGTGGGAGGGGACCACAGCCAGGATACAAAATGAATAAATTTTAATAAATTATAATAATAAAAAAGGAAAAGTTTTAAAAACGAAAAATAATACCCCTCAACTCAAAGTCTCTCCTACTCTTTAATCCCTGCCAGCTGGTTTCTAGCTCTGCCTCTTGACCTAAGGTTAACCTTATTAGATCCTGTAAACAGAGGGCTCAAGGATTAGAGGTGTGTGGTAGGGCTGGGTGAACCACACTATAATCACCTGCTTACAATATACGGAAAGCTCTTGGATTAAAGGTGTGTGATGGGGCTCAACCACACCAAAGAAACAGGGTTCAAATATCCTGCAACACGTTCCCTTCATTGGTCTTACCTAAACCGAAGAAAGGGATTTCAGAAGGCATTCCTGCCGCTCCTGAGTATCCTGAGGACGCTAAGGCTACCCGGGTTTTACCTACCCCCAAGAGAAAGGCTTTCAGGGTACCTAGGAAAAAGGAGATGTTGAAGATGTTGAAGAAAGGAGTTACCAAAAAAAAAAAAAAAAAAAAGTCGTAGAAAGTGTAATAGGTATAAGAAAAGTCTCTGAACAACCAGATTCCCACACCAGTTTGTACACCAGCACTTTTTGAAAGACGAAAGTTACAGGTAATAGAAGTCAATGACGATAGAGATAATGAAATCATTTTCAAACAGCCTGTTCCCACAATGAAAGAAGAGGGGCAGGAGACTCCAAAACCTGCAGACTGAGAAAAAAAAAAAAAAAAAAACTAGAAAAAGAACCAGTGATCCCTGAAGCATCCTGTGTGTATATTTTCTAGGCAGATGTGATTTTGTTACAAAATTCCACTGTATTTTACTAGGTGCTGTGACATGAAAGCTCTGACGAGGCTGTTGGAGGAAAACTACATGCTTGTTCCTGCCAGTGAGGACAGCCACCAGACTCTTGTCTGCTTTGCCCTTTCTGTCCTGACTTCGTATTCAGGCTTCATAGATCCCTTACTTCACTCTGCCTGTGTGAAAATACAGGCTTAAATACTAGTAGTGGTCTTTGTGGCCCCACCAGTGCGCTTTGACTGTGTGGTGGTTGTGCACACAAAACCCAAAGAAATGTCAGGCTTCAACCTCAGGCATCTGAAACTGGAAGGTAAATAAATACACAGAGTGTTAAGGCAGTCCGTGTGTGAATACATATTATACAGGTATGTACAAGATATTCAAGTGCTGATGAGTCCAGAATGACTTGTTTTCACCCATAATTAATTCCAGGTGAGAAAGTGTATATGTTTGACAACCAGTTTCAGCAGGTTGTATTCAAGATGCAAATAGTGATCAAACTTTTCGTGTGTGTGTGTGTGTGTGTGTGTGTGTGTGTGTGTGTGTGTGTGTGTTATACAAGAGAACCTAAGAACTTTGGAGGCAAACAAGAAATTTCTTCATTACCTCTTTTTAAGTTTCTGTGTCCTTTCTATGCTTTTGTATTGCTGATTCGGGTTTGCTGAATATATCTATCAATCACTATTAAGCATTCCTTTCATCCAAAAAAAAAAATTTACTACCAGGAGAGTACAATTAGGAAATTAAGAAGTCAACACATCTTATTTGCAGCTGATATAATTTTATAAATAAAAGCCTCTCAGGATTCCATCAAAAAATTCCCACAGCTAAAAAATATATCCAGCAAAACAACAGGATACAAAATTAGCAAAAACTGTAGAGTTCCTATATATACAAAGGAAAAACACACCAACAAAAGAAAATCAAGGAAACTAGACCTCATATGCTCATAGAGGGGCAGAACAAATATTATGGTAATGTCCAAAATAGTACTGAATATTAGTGGAGGTATCAACATTCCAGACTACAACTTATACGACAGAACTATAATAATAAAAACAGCATGCTAATTTCATAAAAACAAAGTTATTGGTCAATAGAATAGAATTATGGAAACACAGATAAATCCACACTTCCACCTGATTTTTTATTAAAAGGTCTACAACACAGATTGAAAAAAAGAAAAACATTGTCACCAAATGGTACTGATCAAATTGGACAGCTACATGTTTTAAAATATATATATATGGGGTTTTTTGGTTTTTGTTGTTTTTTGTTTTTTTTTTTTTTTGTTTTTTGTTTTTTGTTTTTTTTTACTAGATTTTTGTCTCTTACTCTGCACCAGACTCAATGACAGCCAGATCAAGGAACTTCATTTAAAACCAGATGCCCTGAATTTGATAGAGGAGAAATTAGAGAGTATCATTGACACCAAAAAATACTTTCTATATAGAATCCAATGGGCAGACGCTATGATTTTCTGTGCAGGAACCCAACATGCAGGCATCACGACTAGCAATTAGTAGATGAGACCTCATGAAGTTACTTTCTATATAGAAAAGTACATACTCACTTGAATAATGATGCAGCCTACAGAATGGAACAACTGTCACTACCAGCTATATATCTGGCACAGAGTTAATACTTAGAATATATAAAGGACTAATAGAATTAAACACTAAGCAAACAAACAAACCAGTTACAATACAAGTCATAGAACTAAGCAGAGAGTTATCAAAAGATGAAACCCAGTGGCTAGAAACAATTTTTTAAATGTACAAAATCCCTTGCTGTCAGAGTAATGCAAATTAAAGCTACTCTTTATTCTACTAGAAGGATAGCTGCTCACCCATGTTCATTGCTGCTCTATTCACAATAGCAAAAAAGTGTAAATAGGTGTCTATCAACTGAGAAATTAATAATAAAAATGTAGTATATTATTCGGCTACAAAAAAAAAATTAAATTCACAGGTAAGTGAATTGAGCTAGAAACAATCATTCTGAGTAAGAAAACCCGTGTATAGAAAGATAAATGTCACGTGCTTTCTCTCATTTGTGAATGTTAATTTTGAAATTTTAGATGTGTATGTTACATTTAGAATACTCTTAGAGGTCAGGAAATCACTGAGAAGCTATGGGGGAGTAGCTTTAAATGAAAACAAGATAGAACACACTAGTATAAAAAATTAAAAGAGAAAAACAGAACTGAAATGGTTAAATTGAGGTGGAGATGGGAGGAGAGGATAGATGATGGAGAATGAGAATAATAATAATGAGTAAGTCTAAAAACTTTTCGAAAAAGTTATACGGAGTGGGCAGGCAGAAGACATCCTGCCTGCTGCATGGCCTGCCTGCAGTGGGAGCCTCTACAAGTACATGGTGTAGAAATGGGGGAGAAAGAGAAGCAGAATGGTTTGAGAATTATGAAGAGAGGTAGAGCTGGAGACATGAGCAGCCAGCCATGCTATCTGAGGCCATGGTAAAGTCCTGGCCCTTGCTACCACCAAGAGTCATGGCCATGCAGCAGCAGAGGTTTGTGTCAATGTCTGTGGCTCATATTACCTCCAAAGGCTCTGTCAACATCTCTAGTCTGGGCTGCCACCTGGGACCATGTTGATGTCCAAGGGCTGTGCAGAGCTGGCCCTGCCCTGTACTGGCTGCAGCACTTGGAAGAGCGGGCCCTGTGCCATGCTTGAATAGCATGGTTGAACTAGTCCTGGTGACAAAGTCAAGGGTGAGCTGTTCCTCAGGGCATGGGATTCTGAGAGCTGACAGGTGTAGCCCGCGTGGTCGTCTCGCCAGCAAGAACGCACACGGACACCAGGATTCTTCTGCAGCAAGCGTTTATTCAGCAGTAATGAGAGGAAGACCTAGAGCCCCAAAATGGCACTCCTTTTATACTCTAAATGGTGACGTGTTGGTTCCTGATTGGATGCAGCCTATCAGGCCATCTTACATCACTAAGTGAGCTAATCTTTGGCTTGAATTCAGCTTTAGCGCATGCGCACAGGCAGTTGTTTACGATCTCACACACCGGATGCCGGCGCCATCTTGTAATGGCGTTTGCTTCAGGCTCTTTACAGACAGGCACACCATTGGGTGAGCTATCTGGGGCAGTGCTGGAGAGTTCACCTTAACGTTGTGGGTGCAGGAGAGCTGGTTGGCTCAAGAATTACTGTGGAACAGGGAGTAGTAAGAGAAAGAGGCAGGAGATGCTACAAGGAACCAATGGGCTTAGTTCTATTTTATTAATGAGTGTGTCTATTTTATTGGCAATACCACACTTTTTTTTTCATGAAGGTTGTAAGATAAAGCATGTAAAAGCATTTGAAGAGCTTTGTTGTTGCTTTTCTCTCTGTGCCAGACCTTAGGGATGGAGATGCTGCTGCTCAACTGGATGGATTAAATACTCTTAGATTATCAGGGGCCAAATGGTAGAACTTGACTTGCCAAAGGCAAGGTGAGTATAGTTATTATAGTTGGTTCAAGCAAATCCATGTTTATAATTACGATCCTGCCAGGGGTCATTGGCCCCTGGCCCATGAGGACAAAGGGACAGAAGCCACAAAAGGGTTCCTATGGCCTGTGAGTACCACTGACAAGACTTCCTGGATCTGCTTCAGAGAGGCAGCTCATTTTATTGTTTCAGGGGTGAGGTACATAAAGGTTCTTAGGGTTATAGGTGAGAAGAACTGATTGGCCATAACACAATACCTAATTATCATACTGGCAGAAAAAGATAATTGGTCAGAATATAATACCTAATTATCATATTGGAGCTTCTGTTTTGAGTCTGTGTTCAGGGTCATACTCTGAATACAGTCTGGCATTTGTTGCTTAGAAACTCTCTCCAGAGAAGGTGAGGCAGAGAAGAGGAAGTCCCTCTGAGAAAGGGAATCCTCCATTTTGTGCTGAGCTCAGAAAGCCATCTGGACATAGTGGACATACAATAGCCTAACTCATAATAGGAAGTACATTGAAAATAATACCTATAATGACCTGACATGTATGAACTTTTGGTACAAACTAATCAATCATAGTGTTTCCGGGAATGAAATAAGATAAGAAGTCTACTAAGTTCCTGATTCTTTAGAGAACCATGACTAATATGATGTGGAGAAAAAGAAATAGAAAATGCCATAGGTCCCCCACTCAGATGTAGCCCATAGCAGTTCAGTCTCCCTGTGGGTCATCTAGTAAGGGGAGTTGGGCTGTCTCTGACATGAACTATTCTTCTATCACTTCCCCCTGCTGGCAGGGCAACCTTGCCAGGCCACAGAAGGAGAGGATGTAGCCAGTCCCGGTGAAACTTGACAGGCCCCGGGGTCAGTTGTTAAGTAGGGGAAGAGGGTGCATCCTTTCTGAGGACCAAGGTGGAAAAGGGAGAGAGGGTGGGACTGGGATGAGAAGGGAGGGGGCTATGATCGGGATGTAAAGTGAATAAATATTTTAAATGAATTTAAATTAAAAAAATAAAAATTTTCTCTTAGCTTTAGAGCTATAAGTAAACATGTTCATAAAAGTGCAAAACAATAACTCATGACTTAAAGGATCCCACAGTCTCCAAGGAAGGCAAAGGTTTACTAAAGGCAGGCTATTTCTTTATCTGCAGCCTTAGCCTGATCTATCCAAGGATTATTTTAGCAAATCTGTTCTCCTGTAGAAATGGAACAGACACGGAGAGAGAGCTTTTAGGCAGAACTTCTGTCATTGTTTTTATTGGTAACCAGGTGCACAGAAAAGAATGCAGCAGGCCTACCTGAGTTCCAGTTCTGGTTTTTCTGTTAAAGAGATGAAAGCAAAAAAAAAAAAAAAAAAAAAGAGTCCAGTGCTGGTGATTAATGGCAGATTTTATTTTCTTAACTCTGAGAGCCATCTGTAAATTATGAAGATTAAAGAAAATTAAAGTAAATTTCTTAGGCTAACACACATTATATAATTAATGGACATGATTATTGATGCTTATTTCTTATTTATGTTGTTTATAAGCAGCTATTTCTTAGTTTTTATTAATTCTGAAGCAAGAATCATGAAGAAAAAACATTTAAATGAAAAAGAAAGTAAGTATAATGTCAGATATACATATATCAAAAAATTACATATGGTAAGTAAGTCCAGGCAAATGTTCTTAAAATGAAAATATTAGTGCTAAAGTAAATTTTTCTAGGAAAACACAGGTAGGACTAATGAAAATTAATTATTTTGTTTTATAATTTGTAAATATCTAGTATTTTAGCATTATATTAATTCTATGTATCTCAAATACTCATATGAAGAGTTAAATTTTTCCAACAAAAGTTAGAAAATACTTTTATCTATCTTCCTTAGTCTTTCATGAGATGAGCAAAAATATTCAGAACTTATATGCTGCTTGAATTTGAGTCACTAATCTTAACTCATTGGTTTTAGAAGGCAGCAGGTAAGAGAAGCCTCCAACATTCTGGAAATAATGATTTTTTTTTTTTTTCTAAAATCCATCATTGCCATTTCTTTTGGTTACAAATTAGATTCTCTGGTATCCAGATGACTGACATCTTAGGCGGATTTTGTAGACACACAAACCCAAAATGCAGAGGATGACCACGATGGCCCCGATCACAGGAAGCACAATGGTATAGTCAGACAAACACTCGTCCACTACGGGATAAAAACAGACACAATATAACAGGTAAGACTGGGTGGTAAAAGGCCAGAGTAGAGGACATGAGCTTTGGAGTCAAGCATATTTGATTTTGACTCTTACTTTGGTGACTGAATGATTGATTGATTGATTACACTGCTGAGCATCTAACCCAGACTTTATGCATGCTAGGCAGGCACTCTACTACAGAACTAATTCCACAGCATTAGAATTAGTTGGGCATATATTTACCTTTGAAATTCTCTTATCCATAAAATAAGCACATAATATATAATTACTGAGTAATTATATAAATCACTCCTGGTTTTTTTTTTTCAGCCATTAATATAAAATCATTGTTTTCCACATTTCCTGAATTGAGAAAAGATATTGCCAGGAACACTTCTTGAGTAGTTGGATCATCATGTTAAAAAAATAAAATAAAATAAAATAAAATAAAAAAATAAAGACCATTTTTGTCACTAGATTCCTAAAGATTCTCAGTGTATTTACTTTATAAAACATCATTGTCACTCTTAAGCTTTTACTGTATACCTCTTAACTGATATTTTAAAATATCTATAATCATGATAGCTTAAAGGTAAGACTTCGCAAACTACACAACTATATTTCTTCGTTCCTCTGAGAACATTTTATTCAGTTAATTAAAATGTAAATAATTGGGTCAGAGACCAACCAGTCTCAAATGGAAAAAAATGAAGTGGACTGAGAATAAATGAAAACTTGGTAGAATTATCAGTGGAATGTAGAGTTTGGGAGAAAAGAGAAAAATAAACAAATAACTAGATCCATATCTCAGTCATAAGAGATGTTTGTGTGAAGTCTTGGAATGAACTTTTTTGTGTCTTGAGTCTGGGAAAGACCCAATAATGGCAATTACTGAGCCCAGAAAAAATTGTGTATCAAATAAATAATATTTGCAATAAACTATTTGATTTGGCAGTGAGGAATGCTTACAGGATGTGTTATTTAGGGTTTCTTTTGCTGTGAAGAGACACCATGAGAACAGCTACTTATAAAGGAAGCATTTCATTAAGGCTGGCTTACGTGTCAGAGGTTTGGTCCATTATCATCATGTAAACTAGGAAGGACAAACCAGTCATCTCCTGCCTCCAGGTTCCGACCTTAAAATCCCTGCCCTGACTTCCCTTGGTAATTAAGCGTAACATAAAGTAAAACAAACCCTTTGTCCCCCAAGATGATTTTGGTCATGGCATGTTTTCATTGTCCTAGGAACCTTAACTAAATGGATGTGGTGGCACATGCCTGTAATCCCAGCACTCAGGGAGACAGAGGCAGACGGATTTCTGTAAGTTTGAGGCCAGCCTGGTCTACAAAGTGAGTCCAGGACACCCAAAGCTACACAGAGAAACCCTGTCTTGGGAGAGAGAAAGAGAAGGAGGGAAAGAGGAGGGAAGGAGGGGAAGGAAGGAAGGAAGGAAGGAAGGAAGGAAGGAAGGAAGGAAGGAAGGAAGGAAAGAAGAAAAGGAAGGAAGGAAGGAAGGAAGGAAGGAAGGAAGGAAGGAAGGAAGGAAGGA